CATGGCACTGGTGGGCGGCAGGCCCTTTGCGGTGCACAAGTCACATCCAAGTGGAAGGTGGAGCAGTGGGAGCCCAAGCCAGGGCTTCTGAGCGGGACCAGGCTCGGGGCCGACCAGGCAGGCATCAGGGGCAGGCGAACCCGCAGGCATCCCCTCCAGCCACATCTGAGCCTCCTGGACTGACCCTCCTCTTGGCCTCAGCTCGTCTGTTCCCCAGAAGGGCTCTGGTGGGCCCAGTGGTGAGGACTCAGAGCCCCCTGGTCCGGCAGGTGCCACATCCTGGCCCGTGGACCTTGACCCCAGGGAGACCTGAACCCCAGAGACCCCAGCCGAGCTGGAGGCGTCTGACGGATCAGCCTCGTGTCCTGTGATACCTGCTGCCTGTTGAGCTCACGCCGTGGCTCACAGGCTCCGCCCTTTAACGGGCGGAAAAAGAACGTGTGTGTGTGTGCGGTATTGTCACTTTCTGGAAACTTGCACAACGTGGTCTTGATTTGGGCTTCTTCCTCTTGCAGCTCGTACCACGGGTACAAAACCATGAAGGATTTTGTGAGGAGAAGGTGCTGGGCTAGGTAAAGTGGTAACTGGGAGGCGTGGCCTCGTCCCCGCCTACAGGCCCCCCCCTCAGTAGTCCCCTTGGAAGAAAAGCCGCCGCCAGGGAGAGAGAGGGTGGGAGGGAAACAGAATCAAAGTAAATGTCAGCCCAGGAAATGCCCTTGGGCTCCCAACTGCTCTCTGGTTTCTGAAGAGTTTGTTTTCAAGAACAAACAAGAGAAATGTCACTGGCAGATTCTGCTCCCAGCAGGACAGGCAGGTCGGGGATGGGAGGCCTGGCTGGGGGCAGGGCAGGGTGGGGCGGGGCCTCTCCAGGCCCCTCATTCCTGCCCAGCGGAAAGGGGTGCCCATGTGGGCCCTGGGGGTGGTCGCGGCCCTCCCCTCAGGGGCCCCAGAGGCCGGGTGGGCAGAAGGGGAGCTTCCTGCAGCATCAGACCCGGGGCTCTGACGTCTCCCACTGCAGAAAGTGCAAGCTGGTGACCAGTGGGCCTTGGCTGGAGGTGGGCCCTCTTGCCCTTGCGGATGTGTCCATCATCCCGGAGAGCCCAAGCACCAACAGAAGTGGGCACAGCATCGCCCTCTGGGCCATCAGTGACAAGGGGGATGTGCTGTGTCGTCTGGGTGTGTCTGAGCTCAACCCCGCGGTGAGCACCCTGCCTCACCTGCCAGCCCTTGGGCCCTTCTGGGGGTTCTGGCGGATTCTTCGCAAAATAGAACTCTGGACCAGAGTCCGGCTGGGCTCAGGCCTCCAGGGGCCTGCCCAGGACAGTCCCGGGGACCGGCGGCCCCAGGATGTGGCCCTAGGGGTCACTAGGTTCCCTGGGCAGTGGGAGCTGAGGCTGAGGTTGGCCTGAGGAGCTGCCAGTTCACCTGGGACCTTGGGCAGGGGGAGGGGCAGAGGTTAGGCCCTGGCAGCCCTCAGTGTCCCCTCTGGCTCCCATCTCCAGGGCTCCTCCTGGCTGCATGTGGGCACTGACCAGCCTTTCACTTCTGTCTCCATCGGGGCCTGCCACCAGGTGTGGGCCGTGGCCAGGGATGGCTCCGCCTTCTACCGGGGCTCCGTGTCCCCTGCCCAGCCGGCCGGTGAGTGCTGTCCCCCTAGAATGATCCCCACCGGTTGTGCGTGAGGACGAGAGGCGGCCAGGGTTTGGTCGGGGTGAGGCCGCATGTGCTTGCGATTCCGGGGGAAGAAAGATGGGTCCCCTAACGTTCAGTTCAACTGAGTGCTGCCTGGGGACCAGGTGCGGAGGCCAAGCCAGGACTGTCACCAGAGGCCATGCCCCCTCCTCCCAGGACAGATGGGGACTCTCGCCCAGGGGGTGGGACAGTCCCTCACAGCTGCCCTTCACCAGCCTCAGCCCCCTTCCCCGGCCATTGCTGGTTGTGGGCTCTTCACGCATCCTGCCCTTCAGGACAGCCCTGCATCCCCCTGCACAGGGAACTACTCAGGGGACCCTCTGGGAGCGCAGGCCAGGCTGGCTTGCTCTTGGCTGGCTGTCTAGACAGTGTCTGGCATGGAGGAAGCTGGCCCCGAGGCGGTCCTACAGAGGGGTGGCAACCTGCACGTTGCTGCCATCCACACGAGGACAGGGGGCCTGTGTGGTGGTTGTGCGTGGTGGCCCCGGGACAGGCTGGCCACCACATGCCAGGCTGGGCTCCTTGGTGTCCCTACTCTGAGATGGGCCCCTTGGACCCCATGGTCTGGAAGCCGCCACAGGCTCCGAGGGCCCTGGGTGGAGTGGGATGCTGGGGCGCTCGCTCTATTGGCCCTCAGCTCACGCCAGACCCGTCACACGTGTGTGACCTGGCTGGCCTGGGGACGGAGGCCAGCCACACCTGCCTTGACCCTGTGAGCCACAGGGGGTGGGGTCACACGGTCTATGAGCTCGTGGGCAGGATCGGAGTCTCCCAACTACATCCTGAGTCCGACCTCGCGCTCGCTGCAGGTGACTGCTGGTACCACATCCCGTCCCCCCCCAAGCAGAGACTGAAGCAGGTGTCCGTGGGGCAGACGTCAGTGTATGCCTTGGATGAAAACGGCAAGTTGTTTCTGATCCTCAGTGACCACCAGGGGAGATTAGGGGTTCCCTGAGCTACTGCAGTGGGATGAGACCCTCACCAGCCCCGGGTCCCTGACATAAGACCTCGCTAAGCCACCACGAGGGGCCATCAGCCTGAGATCAGCCTCCCAATGAGTCCGTCTCGCGAGCCACGCAGGCTGGTCAGGGCTGCCTGGGCCTTAGCAGAGGGCGTGGGGCTGAGGCCAGGCAATGCCGCGTGGCTGCTGGGAGCGTCTCCTAGAGGGTACCACTCGGGCCTGCCACGCGGGAGTCCCGCGGGCAGCTCGGGGCCGGCGGAGGTCACCTACCTGTGCCACCTCGGACAGGAATCTCACCAGTTCCTTTTTCTGCTCCATGGCTGTTGTCGCAAAGCAAGGTGAAGAGAGGGCAGAGTCAGGACTGGAACCAGGGCTTTGTGCCCAGGCCCTGTTCTCTGTATTTGTTTAAAGAATTCCTTGTCCTCAGTTTCTCATGCGTAGAGAGAGCGCGATGGTGCCAGCCCGGCACAGCGGGACGATCATGCGGCTCAGGTGGAGGGCAGCGTGGAGAGGGCAGAGCCGGCTCCGGCCTGAGCTGCTTTCTCTCTGGGGACGCAGGAGCCCCCGGAAGTGTGGTCCGGCCCCCTCCGTCTCCGGCCCCATTCCAACGTTCTGGGCCTTTCTCTCCCCAGGAAACCTGTGGTATCGCCAGGGGGTGACGCCCAGCTACCCGCAGGGTTCCAGCTGGGAGCATGTGTCCAACAACGTGCGCCAAGTGTCCGTGGGGCCCCTGGACCAGGTCTGGGTGCCTGGGGTGGGGGTGGCGAGGCCCAGGGCAGGTTTGGGGTGCTCCGGGTCCTTGCTCTGCTCTCCCTGTTGCCATCCCCACAGTCCCACTGGAGCTGGGGGCCGGGCTTCAACGGGTCTGCGTTCCAGGTCTGGGTTATCGCCAACAAGGTCCAGGGGAGCCATAGCCTGAGCCGGGGGACCGTATGTCATCGCACAGGGGTACAGCCTCGAGAGCCCAAGGGGCAAGGCTGGGACTACGGCATTGGGGTGAGCAAGGTTGGCCTGGGGCTGCGTGGTCACACCGTGTGCGCTGGAACCTGGCGCCGGGGCTGGTGAGAGGCCCCGGACACAGCCCCTCCGGGGTCCTTGATCTCCTGGGCTCTCCCCTGGGCCCCCGGCAGCGCGGGTGACGAGGCTCTCTCCTTCCAGGGGGGCTGGGATCACATCTCCGTCCGGGCCAATGCCACCAGAGCCCTCAGGGGCAGGTCCCAGGAGAGAGCTGCCGAATGCAGTGGGGAGCGGGGCCTCCCCGGCGCACCCTCGGGGGTGGCCGGCGTCCCGCAGGAGGCCCCCGGCCTGGTCCGCTGCTGAGGTTGTCTCCTCTCACCTGGAAGGAGGCTTCGTGCAGGTGTGAAGGATCAAGGATGATAAGTGAGCCTTCCCGTCTGAGCCGTTCTTGGATGTGGATCCTTGAGGGAAGCTGGCCCGAGGTCACAGCCACCTCGGAGGCGCTGGCTGAACCAGCCCAGGAATGTGAAGCCTTATGGACGCTCCCTCGGTGTCCCTGTCTGCAAGGAGGGCCATGGAGTGGGGTGGGGGCCCCTTCATCCCTGCCTCTCCGGCCTGTCCCTCTCCCCCTCTGCCTCCTGTCTTTCCAGAAAGGGAACCTAGAGCCTGGAGCCTTCCAGGGAAGCTGAACCCGTGAGGCCCTGGGTGTCCCCAGACCGCACAGGGGCACTGCCCCTCACCCCAAGAAAATGGCTTATGGGTCTTGCGGCTACTTTGCCCCATTCTGTCATCTTTTCTCAAAGCCGGACTCACGGTTTAAGTTCAAAAGTTCAGCAAGAGTTGACAGCTTGCGAGTGAAGGCTGGGGAGGGGCATCTTTTTCCCGGGTGGGCACAGGCGCCTTGGCGTGCACGGGGGAAGCTGTCCACGTGCAGAGAACTGTGGGCATCTGCCCTCAGCCAGCCTTTCCCCCGCTGGCTTTGGGGGCAGCCCCCTTTGTGTCTGATCACACTGTGTAGGGGCCGCAGGGACATGGGGTGTGCAGGCCGCAGCCGCGAACCCGACACCCCAGGGCAAGAGTCTTCCCGGCCAGGCCAGTAGGAAAGCTCCTTGAATGAAAACCAGCTTTTCTGCTGCTTTTTATTCAATTATGACCCCACTGGCAAAGCCTCAAATTTGCCTCCTGCAACCGGACACTTTGCCTGGAGGCCGTTAGAAGCCCAAGCCCACCTCTGCTGGTTTGGGAACAGAACCGACGCCAGCCTTCCCTGGGATTCCATCAGGAGGGGCCAGCTGTGCATCGGATCCCATTTGGCCACGCAGGGCGTTGTCACCCAAAGGCTGACTTGGAGGAGGTCTCGGCTGAGGTCCCCTCCCCCGCGGGGGCCCTGGAGGGAGCTGATGGTCTCTGCGTTGCGGTGAATTCTGCATGTGGGACCAGGAGGTGTGAGCGTGGGCTGGGGGACGTGGTCCTGTCTGTTTACACGTCACCATCTGGTTGTCTGCGGATGGGCCTGGTGGATTTCTTCTACAGCAGCAAGCAGCGATCTGCCGACCTGCCCTCCGCTGTCTGCAGCCGCTTTCACCTTGCCCTTGCCCCAGGGCAACCGCGTCCTGCTGAATGCCCACTGTCTACCTGCTCGCCCCACCGAACCATCCTGATTCCTTGGATGCTCTTTATTCAATAAAAACTCACACCAGAGTGTAAACACATGCTATTTTTTTATTGCTACGTTGTGATCAAAATGCAGTCCCCTCTCCCCCATCCGGCCTGGGGCAAAAGTTAGCAGTCTCCGGGGTGGAATCTTTCTTTTGTTTTTTGTTTTAGGACACAGCATTGGTTTCATTAGTACTTTGAAGGGGACCATTAGGAGAAATCAAAGCAAATTTGGGTCATTTAAGGAACATTTTCACCACAATCACAGCGGGGGCACCGGCCACTCAGTTCCAGGCAGGGTTTCCCACACAGAGAAGTCACAGTTCTGGTTTCTCAGCTCCAGTCTGCGGGGATCTCAGCCTCCAGAGCTCATGCAGGTCTGTTCTGCAGGCGGATGCGAGGCCTGGGTGCAGGCCAGCTGGCAGGGCTCGGGGCCAGTGGGTTGCTGGCTTTGGGCGCCCTCCCCGGGCAGAAGGGTCTTACCGGGCTTGGGGGTCCCAGACAAGGTCAAGGGAGCAGACTCAGCAGCAGGCCTCACTAGCCTATCACCAGAACCTTCCTCCACCTGCCCGCCATATTTAACACCCCAAAATGCAACTGGAACCTTTAAGGGTCCTTTGTGACGTGGCCACAGGGGAAGAAGGACTAGACATCTGGGCCCAGGTCACCCTCTGGGAAGCAGAGGGGATGCAGGTGCCAGTTTGGGACAGATGGAGCCCTGAAGGCTGTCATCTGCTAGGGGGTGACCCACACAGAGCCCCTCCAGCACCCTTGGTCATCGGGCATAGTCCCCCGGACGGAGTGTCCACGGGGCACCCCTCCCTGTGCTTTCGGCTCAGTCTGTTGGTTCATTCAGCAAGTTCAGGGGTGCATGGAGCCCCTGCTCTGGCCTCGGCTCTGCTGGAATAAGAACCACAAGGTTTGCAGACCACCCACAGGGAGTGTGGGGCCCGTCCGTCCCGATCTCGAAGTGGTCCTCAACCTCGGCTCCAGTCGGTGGGGTGTCCTGACCACTGACCTTCCAGAGCAGCCACCTCTGAGGGGCAGGCCAGGAGTACCGGGGGTCCTCACCTGATGGTGCTGCGGGATGGCTGGGGTGGTGGGGCTGGCATTGGACCAGGCCTCCCAGGGGGCCTGGCATGGGGCCTGATCTGGAAAGTCAGGACCAAAGCCCCAAACGGTTGTTCTGAGGGCTGCTGCCTGCTGTCCTTGATGCTGACACCAAGCCAGGGAGGGGATTAAGCAGCTGGGGCCAGGACCCCCAGGGCTGGGGTGAGGTGGGGAGGAGGGGTGAGGTGGCCCTGCCCCCAGGCGGCTCGGCCCCCTGAGGGCCTCTGGGACAGCTCTGGCTGCGAGGTCTGGCCTCCTATGCCAGGCCAGCTCTACCCTCACCACAGCCTTTGTCACTGGGGTTCCTGCCCGTGGCAGCCAAGGTTGCTCGTCCCCTCCCCATATTGGCCATGGGCACAGGGATGACGGAGGAGAGACGCCAAAGCCTGTCGGGGCCAGAAGTGTCACAGAAGGAAGCTTGGCCCGGGACTGTGGGGAGTGCGGGGTGGGGGGGGGGGGGAACCTGCCAAACTGCCCAGGCCCGCCTTTAAGGAGCAGCACTAGGCGGGGGAGGGGAGCTCCTGCCACCCCAGGATCCCTCCCCCAGAAAGCCCTGCAGGCCCCCAACTCCAGCCAGGACCCGAGAACACCCTGCAGTTTTGTCAACCGCCCTCTGCCAGTGACACAACCACAGCAGTGACAAATGCAACCACGAGCAGCAAACGCCAAGGGAGGGAGAGCCGGGCCGTTCTCCCAGATCTGTCTGTAAGCCCTTGAGAGCTGGGCTGCAGCCCCTGGGGCCTGACCCTCCACAGTCAGGAGCCCCACCCAGGAGGAGGAAGGAAAAGATCCCAGCCCTTCTTCCTGCCAACGTCCCTTTAGAATTAATTTGAGGTAATCGGATTAGGATTTGTGGGGTTTTGAGAGTCTCTATCTGACACACGCTGAACTAC